AAAAAAAAAAAAAAAAGAAAGTTGCTATTTTAACCCACTAAGCTTTCAGGAAGTTTGTCATGCAACAATACAGAACCAGGTCTTCAGGTATGTAAGATATAAGTCGGTAAGAATATTCTACAAAAATTATTCTACACAAAACCAACATCCACTCTTATGCTCCAAATTGAACTCTATCATTTTTCATATGTACTTTGCCCGTCTGCCTTGCTGTTACCTTCCACATGTTCTGATCTCCTCCACAATCCCAAATTCCAAACCCAAATAACTGCTTTTTTATAGACTTCAGTTTTCCCAGAAAAAGGGCACTTTCTGTCTCTTATGAACTTGTATACTGCCACCTCTCCAAAGATGCTTACTTAGTGCCCATTGTCCCAATTAACTGTGCCCCCTTTCACTCACAAAAGTGCCCCATTCTAGTCAATAGGTTATATGGTTACCCTGTGGTTAACACACTGCTCTGAATTATTTTATAGAATTTTATCTCTTATTCCAAACTACATGATTACTTGAAAGCAAGTAGAGTTGATGCTTGAACAATGTGGAGTTAGGGGCACCAACGCCCCTTGCAGTAAAAAAAATAAACCTGTATAACTTTTGACTCCCCCAAAATGTCACTAATAGCCTGTGGTTGGCCAGAAGCCTTACTGATAACATAAATATTCAACTAACACAATATTCTGTATGTTATATGCATTATAAAAAAATAAGCTAGAGGGGCACCTGACTGGCTCCGTCGGTAGAGCATGTGACTCTGCAACTCTTGATCTTGGGGTCGTGAGTTCAAGCCCCACACTGGGCATAGACCTCACTAAAAAAATAAGCTAGAGAAAAGGTTACTAAGAAAATCTGAAGGAAAATGCATTTACAGTTACAGTACTGTAACTGTAAAAAACCCACATATAAGTGGACCCACTCAATTCAAACCTGTGTTGTTCCAAGGGTCAATTGTACCCTGTCATTGTAAGTATCTACTGACTGCCTACAACGTGCCAGATACTATACAACGTGCTCTTGTGTATCTTCCACATTCCCCTGTGCTGTGTGTAATGGACACTGTTGTGCCAGATCACTCACAGGCTGGACCCACTTGGGAACTGATGAGAATGAAGACTGCAACTTGGAAAAGGTTACCTCCAAACCTGCTATAGACCCAGGGGGGAAAAAACAGTGTGAAGAACCCCTAAGATAAAAAATACATGATAGGATTGGGATGCCTGGATGGCTCAGTTGGTTAAGTATCTGACTCGTGGTTTCAGCTCAGATCACGATCTCGTGGTTCATGAGTTCAAGCCCTGCATAGAGCTCCGTGTTGACAGCATGGAGCCTGCTTGGGATCCTCTTTCTCCCTCTCTCTCTGCCCGTCTCTAGCTTATGTGCACGTGCTCTCTCTTTGAAATAAATATTTATTAAAAAAAAAGAAAACAATTTTAAAAATACATGTATTTAGGGGCACCTGGGTGGCTCGATTCAGTGTCTGACTCTTGATTTCGGCTCAGGCTTAGGTCATGATCCCAGGGTCAAGGGATCAAGTCCCACATCAGTCTCCATGCTTAGCATGGAGCTTAAGATTCTCTCTCTCTCTTTCTAAAATTAAAAAAAAAAAAAATACATGGTGTCAGAGTGGATGTAACTACTAGGGTCTCTCCTGTTTCTTACGAAGAAACACCCAAAGTCTGGGCCCTATGCAGAATAAGAAACAAACCAGGTCAGGAGAGCCCAGAACCTTGGCCCACTACCCAAGGTTTTTTCTCTGTTGGAAAAGAGATGGGGAGTGGTTATGTCAGTCCATGTCCGGGTCTTTAGACCTCATTTTCTTACCTCAACAGTTACATAACCTAGTTACTAATGCAGTATTTTTCTTCTATTGACATTAGACCTACTTACTAATTCAAGGCAGCAACCTGGCCATGGCTAACCGGAAAGACGTTCAGTAAAAGCTTAATGAAAGAAGTCACTAGCACTATGTCACTAATGAAAGCCGTGGAAAAATTTAACTAACTTACCTAGCTGGTAAAAGCTAATGGAAATAAAATGCTAAAAACCTAACTGATTTCTAGACTGTTCTTCCAACTCAACTATTACCTTTGCTAAATGTTTCTTTTATACCTCTGCTCTTAATCTATAAAAATCTTTTTCCCCCATAAGGCCTTAAACCTACTTAAGGTAACTCACTGTTAGCATGTAATGCTCCAATGTGAAATATTCTCAGAAAATGAATGGTTACCTATAAACTCTATAGTAACAGATTTCATAAGAAGAAAAGGCTGTGGTTTTATTTTCAGGTTTTTGGAAATGGTTTTCAGAAAACAAATTACAAGGACACATAAAAAACTTGAAGTCATTCATTAACTATGAACTCTTAGCAGAAGAAGGGACTCTGAAGTATCTGAATTCCTCTCCTTCTGAAAGAAGAAATTACTTCTAAAATGTCCGCCCCTTATATAAATCTTTCCCAAGTTTGATGTACTTCACCTCATAAAAGGAACACAATTTTTAATCTTTTAAAACAAAAGAAACAAAACAGAGGAGGCAGGTCTCTTGTGTTACATGCTTTGACAGAAAGGTCACAATTTTGAAGCAGCTTTGCGATATGCAGAGCACAGTACTGGCTTCAAAAAAAAAAAAAGTTCAAGGGGTGCCTGGCTGCTTCAGTCAGTTAAGGGTCCACTGATCTCAGCTCAGATCTTGATCTCAGGGTCATGAGTTCAAGCCCCACTTTGGGCTCCATGCTGGGCGTGAAGCCTACTTACAAAAAAAAAGGAAGTTAAAATGACCTGTGCACTTGCATTATGTAAATGTGAAGAGCTGCTGTCAGCTTCATCTAT